GTGTGTGTGTGTGTGTGTGTGTGTGTGTGTGTAAACACTAACCTTCCTGGCCATAATCAGACCAGACGGTCGATGTGAGACTTTAAAGACCACGCCTCCGTTGCCCGCACCGAGCTCACAGATCTTCTCGAAGTCGTCGTCCTTCAGCTCCCCCACCTTCTGCTTCTGGGTCAGAAAGGCTTCCAGACGTTTCCGCTGCTGCTCGTCCAGCTCCAGCTCCTCCAGCTTCTTCTGCAGGGCCTCCAGGTTTGTTCTGGGATGGAGCGAGACAACGAAAGACAGGCAGACAGTTCGACGTCTGCGGCTCATGTACATAATACATAGAACATTCACATGTCATACAGTTTTTATCAGTCAGTTTTACAGATAATAAGCTAAAGTTTGATGTGGTGGTAGCTGACAATCACCCTCAATGGTCACTTTGAGCTCTAACAGATTTCACCAAATTTCTTTGCCTCTTTTTATCATATCAGCTTTATTGTTTGTATAAAAGGTGGTGGGTAAAATTGGGCATATACTGCTTCTATCATCCTCAGTTACAAGACAACATTTATGAGACAGGAGGTAGAGCACGTGCCTTTGGGAACAAACAACCTTAGAGGGAAACACAAAGGCCCACCTGCTGTGTTTTAATGTTGCCTTTCAAACCCATCCATGAGGAGGCTTCAAGTTCTTTCCAATAAMGCAGCCTCTCTGCTGTTGCCATGCCAATGCATTTCATTAAGAAGTTAATACTGGCGTAGCATCTGCTGACCTGCTTCTCTTCAAACAGCATCGCCTGAAGACCGACAAACACGAGGACATGAGAGTTTCCTCATTTCTGCTTTAGTGAGTCGATCCTGAGTGCAGCTTCAGCTCTGAGTGAGGTGAAAAACCATATTCTGCTGCAGCTGTGTCGCGGTGGACCTCGGCTGGGATACGATGGGTTTTTTTCTTTCAGCCTATAGCCGCAGCAGAGTCAATATTTTAGCACTAAAATCACGAGTAAGTGGGGAGAGCAGCTGGAGCAGAGAAGTGCACGCTCCACTTGACGCAGCAAAGAGAGGGTTAAGTGTTTATTTTATTTTTGACAACGGGTCTGCATATCCATGGAGACGAGGAGCTGGATGTGGGCGGCGTGGGCGTTTGGTCGACAAGAGCGGAACATGACACGTGGGAGGGTTTTCATAACAGGTGGACACTGCACCCCCCCCCCC